GAATAAACGTTGAAAAAAAAAAATTAAAAAAAAGAAAAAAGCTTTAAAAAAAAAAAAAAGCTTATTTAAAGAAATAATGGCTGAGAACTCCCCAAATCTAGGGAAAGATTTGATCAAGTTCATGACGCTTATAGGTCACCAAATAAAATCAACTTAAAGAAATCCTCCGCAAGATACATCATAATAATAAAACTGTCAAAAATCAAAGACAAAGAATCTTGAAAGCAGCAAAAGAAAACATGCTTCCCTTACCAGGGAAGGCTCGGAGCAGATTTCTCAAAAGAAACCTTCCCAACCACAAAAGAGTGGGATGATATCAAAGTGCTGAAAGATAAATACTGCTAACCAAGAACACACTACCTGGCAGAGTTATCCTTTAGAAATGAAGGAGAGGTAAAGACTTTTCCCAAACAAACAGAAGGTGAGATACTTCAGCACCACTAAACCTGTCTTACAAGACATGGTGAAAGGAGTTGTTTAAGCTGAAATGAAAGATGATTAACTAGTGACATAAAAACACACAAAAATATACAACACACTGGTAAAGGTAGGTATATAGTCAAATTAAGAATATTCTATGGGCGCCTGGGTGGCTCAGTTGGTTAAGCGTCTGACTTTGGCCCAGGTCATGATCCCACAGTTAGTGAGTTCGAGCTCCACATTGGGCTCTCTGCTGTCAGCAAGAAGCCTGCTTCAGATCCCCTGCCTCACTCTCTCTCTGCCTCTCTCCCCTGCTCACGCTCACGTTCTCTCTCTCAAAAACAAACAAACCAAAAAGAATATTCTAATAACCGCTGGGTTAACCACTTAGTAACTCTAATATAAAAGTTAAAGGGCAAAAGTATTAAGAATAACGATAGCTATAATACTTGGTTAAGGAATACACAACATAAAAAGAGATAAACTGTGGCATCAAAAACAGAAACCAGGAGAGGTGCCTGGGTGGCTGTCAGCTGAGCAACCAACTCCTGATTTTGGCTCAGAAAATGATTTCACAGTTCATGAGATCGAGTCCCACATGGGGTTCCTCACTAAGCATGGTGCCTACTTGGGATTCTCTCTCTCTCCCTCTGTCTCTGCCCCTCCCCCGCCTCTCGAAAAAAAAATAAACTTAAAAAAAAATCAAATGGGGAAGGAGTAAAAAAGGGTAGAGTCTTTGCATGCAATCAAAGTTGTTACCTGCATAAAACAGACACTATATCTATAAGATGTTTTACGTAAGCCTCATAGTTCTTGCTAAATAGTGTTTTGTTCAATCCCTCTAAAACCTGGAACAACTTAGAATAGATCTCTTAACCAAACTCAACTAACCAAGTTAATAGCAACAAATACTAGCTAATAAAGCACGCTGACCTCTAACTCTAGTGAGCTACTCTCTAGAATGCACACACTTTTCTCCCCTCATTTGGGCTAAATGTTTACCAAAGATCAGATATATCTGTTCCCAAGCCAAATATTTTTCTCAGTTAGATAACATCATTTAATATTATGCAACCAATAAAATATGATTACAAAAAGAAAAAGCTGGTCTCCTCAAGAAAACAAATCAAATGACTAGAAATTCAAAAACATGACAGGCTAAAAATAAGTGATGCTAAACTAGATGTGGGTAAGACTACTATAAAAGACTTGGGAGGGAGATTATAAAAATCTAGAAGAATTCTGTACCCAGATGAAAAAGAAAGTATAAACAATTCATTATGAGTACAGTTTCTAAAAGGATCACAACTCAGATCTCCAAACAAAAGAACCAAAGGCCTTGTCAAACGTAAAAAAAAAAAAAAAAGTTGGTAAATAAATACACTTTTATTGTTTTAAATCAAAACATCTCAGGGGCGCCTGGGTGGCTCAGTCAGTTAAGTGTCCAACTTTGGCTCAGGTCATGATCTCACAGTTCGTGGGTTCGAGCCCTGCATTGGGCTCTGTGCTGACAGCTCAGAGCCTTGAGTCTGCTTCAGATTCTGTCTCCCTCTCTTTCTGCCCCTCCCCTGCTCGCTCTTTGTTTCTCTCTCTGTCAAAAATAAATAAACATTAAAAAAAATTTTTTTTAAATAAAACATCTCAGATATGTATTTTGATTTCTTGCCTGCACATTTATTTTCAATAAACCGACTACCTTGTTTCTGCTTGCGATAAAGGTCCTTTTACTGTATTTCATGTCTCACAAGAAACAGTATTATTTTTAAATAAAAATTTAAAATATTTCCCTATATCTTTATTACCACACTTTGCCATTCTGTTTATTGTATTCCTAAATATATTTTTATCTTTAGCCTAAACAACTAAATAAATGATACACATCAATAGGATACATCATAACCTGCTAAGCATGCATTATATATTTCTAATAGCTTTTATGTGGAACATATATCACAAAGTACTACCACTGCACTGCGAAAAAGAAATTTGTTTTTCAATTTAATAGTTAACATGCCAGCTAAAAATCAATGATATCTTTACAAAATTGAAATATAAACTTCATTTGCAAACACAGACAAGTGACCTGGTTTTTAAACTGTTAAATGAGAAGTACCTAAATACTTTTACTACCTTTTTTAATTACAATTCCCCCCAAAAAAGAGATAAGGAAAATACAGCATTGTGGTCCAATGAGAAGTGCCAAAGCAGTTCTTACCTTCCGATTCTGATCATAAGCAGAGTCAATCCCCAAAATGCTATTCACTTCGACATACGGATACTTCTTTTCCAGGACACTGACCACATGTTCAACTTTTACTTTTTCTCCAGTCCTTACTTTGTTATAGATCTGAAGAAAGAAAAACCGGGTAACCCCCACACTTTTAAATCCAAATTTCAGAATGTTTATTACAAAAGATTTCTGAATATAGAGAAACATGGCTACTTTTCTTAAAAGGTCATATGGAACATATTAGCAATCCCTTTTTCATACACCTCTTTAAGATGCCTTCTCATATTAGAAACTATATATTCTTAAAATGATCCAATCAGTTCATACATAAAGGCCCAAATGTAGAGTGGCTCAGCTGGTTAAGCAACCGACTTTGGCTCAGGTCATGATCTCATACTTTGTGAGTTCGAGCCCCACATTGGACTCTGTGCTGACAGCTCAGAGCCTGGAGCCTGCTTTGGATTCTGTATCTCCCTCTCCTTCTCTGCCCCTCACCCACTCATGCTCTGTCTGTCTCTCTCTCTCAAAATTAAATACACATTAAAAAAAATTTTAATGTGTTAATTTTTTTTTAATCTGAATACCTTTACATAATCCTTGAAATAAGAACTTATGGCCATCATGTTTAGGGGGATAAGTTATAAAATACATGCAGCAAAAATCCTTGTTTTTAAAAAGCAGATATAAAACAAATAACAACACAACTATGTCTTTATACATATAGTTAAACACCTAGAAGGATATAAGACAACCTTTTAATAGTGGTTGCCTTTAAGGAACAGGATTAGAGAGGGGAGAGAGAGAAATTTTAAATCGATTCACTTTAATAATATTTTCAAAAATTATTTACAATGAACATAAAATTTTTGTTGTTGCAATTAAAAATAAACAAAAAGAAATAAAAACTCATTATTATCCTTTCCTTCATAGACACAGATATTGGCGGGAGGTGGGAGGCACAATTTTAAAAAACAGACGTTAAAACACATCCTCAACAACTTCTGAACTTCTTTCTTCTTTCTTTCTTTCTCTCTCTCTCTCTCTCTCTTTCTTTCTCTGTAGCCCCACTGCTAAGCACCCCTCGCTATCACTTCTCAGAGATCCCAACAACAGCCCACCAACCAGTATCCCTGCCACTTTCTCTACCCTTGGTCAGACCCATGGTACATACATGCACCAGAACGTTTTTATCTGGAGTTTAATCCTCTGCAATCTGGACACTCATGGCCTGGCCTGGTAGCCTCAATGGCTAGGTTCCCCTTTCAGCTCTGCTCAAGCCCCAGGGAATTGACAACAGGGAATTACTACCTCTGATTTGCAGCCATCATTCAACTCACTCCTGTTTTTCCTCCTGCACTCAGCTAGGACCACTTCCCACTCCACAACCAGGACATCCCTAGTGGAGGGAGTCCTGGTGTTGCTAGGGTGAGCTATGCTTAAACCATCTGCGTGGTCGTGTCCCCCACCACACCGTAAGGGCTTTGAGGACAGGGGTGAAGTCTTACACTTCTCTGTATCCCTTGCAGCTAGTACCAGGCCTGGGAAATGGTGAGTCTTCAATAGATGATAGTCAGATAAATATATGAACATTTTAATAAAAAATGCTCTGGACTGAATCTCTAAACAACAAACATAAAAAATAGCATGCTGACATCATGTTTATAGGTTAAAAAAAGGTGAAATGCTTTAAAGATGGTTTTCTAATAATTACTACTAACCTATAAGCAAAACAATTGTTACTTGTAAGTTTTTTATATATTCAAAACCAGGAAAAAAAATGAGAGAGTTCCTTGTTTGAACTTGAGCAATTATCTTAAGTATATATAAAAATCAGGGCATTTCAGAGTTTCCAAGGTAAAAAAAAAAAAAAATAGAGAAAATAGACAGAATTTATGATTTGAATATTAAATTATCATAAAGAACTTAGAGGGGAAAAGCAAACATTTTTTTAAACAAGCAAAGAACATCACATTTACCAAAAAAAATTAGTGACTTCAAATTACCAAAAGTCAGAAGACTAAGATACCTTAGTAGGGCTCCTAAGGAATCTATCTTAGTTGAAACCACAGCAGTCTATTATGAACACTGGTGAATCAGTAAAGGCAACTCCTTAAATATAAAATATGAAGTTTGCAAGAATAATTTATCATACTTCTTCACAGAAATATAAAATCCTCTTAACTCATACTATTTCTTAGACGAAGTTAGATTAAGAAAATTATTCGCCATTTTGATTGAAAACATACATGTATCAGAGTTTGGAAGGCATGATAATCGTCCACTTCTTGGGCAACATAATTATACGCTCTCAGAATAGCCACTCCAGCATCTTGCATCCCATCAACATCTTCAGAGTCATTAACCACAAAGATTAAACCAATTCTGGGGAGGAGGGGGAAGGGCAAAAAGAAGAAAAAGAAACTTATCTCAAAAATGCAACTGGTTAAAAGGAATGGCATCTCTGATTCTCATTCACATACTGCAGCTTCCTCCAATGAAAACCTCCTCTACTGAAAAGCACGGTTCACATCCTACTCTAATATGGCGGGTAAAGGCACTCATCACTTGCAGAATAAAAGCAGGTTCCCAAAGGTGGCTTAGACTGTTCAACTGTTAAAGCACACTGTTCTCACACAGTGAAATGAGGCCTTCACTAATGTGAAGGGTTTTGCTAGTTTTAGATGGAGACTTCATGGTTTTTAAAGAAAAATTAGAGGAAATGAATGTTTTCAGAATGTGAAAATCTATAAAAAGGGGGGAGTAGATTTTGAGATTTAACATAGACAATATGAAAAACGTGAAAATGTTGACTATTATCCATCGGCAAAAAGCGACAACCAAGGTTCATGTTTATCACAATTTAAATTTTAGATTAAAGGAAAGAACCACAAAAAGATACATTACACATCTACAAAGTGGCCAAAAATAAAATAAGATTAAAAATAAACCCAAAAGCCTTTCACTGGCCCATACAGAAGTCATAGCCTACATACTGGAGCAAAACCAAAAGAAGTGAGAACAGACAGTCTATTAACAAAGGGTGCTGGAAAAACTGGACACATTCACAGTGCAAAAACACAAATCTATACAGAGACCTTATACCTCTCACAAAAAATTAACTCAAAATGGACCATAAACATGAATGTAAAACACAGAACTACAAAATTCCTAGAAAAGAACACAGAAAACTTAGGTGATCTTAAGTGGGCAATGACTTACTAGAACTAACAGCAAAGACAGGATCCATGACAAGACAAAAAAAAAAAAAAAAATGGGGGAGCTAAACTTCATTGAAATGAAGAACTTCTGCCCTGTGAAAGAAACTGTGAAAGAAGAGAATGAAGACAAGCCACAGACAGACAGAAAACCTGTGAGAAACACATATCTGACAAAGGACAGATATCCAAAATATACAAAGAACTCTTCACACTCCACAATAAAAAGTTGAAAACCAGGGAAAAGATCGGAATTGGCACCTCAGCAAACAAGGCACAGAGTTGGCAAATAAGCATAAAAAAAGACGCTTGACATCATGTCATTTGGGAATTTCAGAATAAAATCACAATGAGATACCACTACACACCTATTAGAAAAGCTAACACCCAAAACGTTGACAACACCAAATTCTGGAGAGAATGTAGAGCTCATTATAGGAACTCTTATTCATTGCTGGTAAGAATGCAAAGTAGCACAACCACTTTGGAAGACAGCGTGGCAATTTCTTATAAAATGAAATATACTTTTTACCCTAAGATAAAGCAATCACGCCCCTTGGTATTTACCCAAATGAGCTGAAAGCTTATATCCACACAAAAACCTGCACACAGATGTCTATAGCAGTTTTCTTCATTAATGCCCAAACTTGGAAGCAATCAGGATGTCTATCAATAGGTGAATGGATTAAATAAACAAACAAAACTATAGTACATCTACATAATGGAATATTATTTGGCAATAAAAATAAATGATCTAGGGGTGCCTGGGTGGCTCAGTTGGTTGAGTGGCTGACTCTTGATTTCAGCTTTAGTCATGACCTCACGACCATAAGCTCAAGCCCTGAGTCAGGCTCCACGCTGGGCATGGAGCCTGCTTAAGATTCTTTCCCCCTCTCTTCATCCCTCCCCCACTTCTGCTTTTTCTCTCTCTCAAAATAAATAAACATTTAAAAAAGAAAGAAAGAATCAAGCTACAAAAAGACATGAACAAACCTTATAATCATACTGCTAAATGAAAAAAAAAGCCAATCTAATAAAGTTACCTACATCATGAGTCTGGGAAAGGCAAAATAATGGAGACAGTAAAAAACAACCAGTGGTTGCCAGTGCCTGAGAGGGAAGAACAAACAGGTAGGGCACAGGAGACTTGGAGGGCAATGAAACTATTCTGTATGATTACGTGATGGTGGAAACATGTCATCACACGCTTGTCAAACCCATGGAATATATGATGCAAACAATGAACCCTAATGTAAGCTATGAACTTTAGTTAATAATAATG